TATATCATTAAAGATTTGTTTTAATTATATTTTGAAATATTATAATTGATTAATTTCTCAAAATGTTCTTTTTAGCATTTTACATTCTTATCAGCTATTTTTGTCAAACATAATTTGTTCATCAGTTAGTTTATCAGCCACCAGCTAGCTTATCAGCCAGTTTGCCAAACATAGCCTAAGTTTTAAAAAAACTAGTTATGAAATTAGTATGTATTTTGGGAAATATATGACCCATATATATGTATAAAAATACTTTAGGAGGAACAAGAAAGAGGCCATGTTGCTTCAAGCATCGAATGCTACATAAAGGAAACTGGTGCAACTGAGGAGGAAGCACGTGAACATTTTTCAAAACAAGTCGAGGATGCATGGAAAGTTGTGAATCGAGAGTCTCTTAGGCCTACAGCTGTCGCGTTTCCACTCGTCATGCCTGCAATCAACCTTGCACGTATGTGTGATGCGCTTTATAAAGGCAACCACGATGGTTATAATCATGCGGGGAAAGAAGTGATACAATACATCAAATCCCTCCTTGTTCACCCTTTAATTTAGTTAGTGGTTTAAGGTTCTTCCGGTCTTGGATGACGTTTAACTTGGTGTTTTTCAAATAAGGAGCCATTGTGATATATAATGTGTTACAACTTTATTTTGTCTGAGTTGTTTTGGTGGTTTACAAGTTTGATGTATGAGACACATTTTTATGCAATGAAATTATGATCAATTACTGTATATTCTCAGCAGTTCCAATGTATGATCAAGGACATATGCCTTTGAAGAGAGTTGTTGCTTGATTGCTCACCTTTTGTATCATGATAATTGATCATATACATGTCTATGATTATGAACATACATATCAAACCATCTTCTTCTGTTTACTTACGTGTTTATGTAGCCAAACAGAAATTTGTTGTAAAACTTTAACCCCTGTTCTTATTTTAAATGAAGCGTCGGAATTGTGCAGGAAATAACAGCCACATATAAGGGGTAGGATTCATGTTTTGGTGGTGGGTAGCATGAACAGTGAAGGTGAAAGAAGGGTTATAATGGTTTGATGTAATAAATCTCAACTGATCTTTGATTTGCGACTTCATCCAACTCTGAGAAGTTAAAGGAAAACTTTCATTACTTTGAAGTTGAGAAATTTTTCTAAATTTGGAACTGTCTACCAACTGTTCGACTAAATGTCTGAGCGGACAACAAAGGAGTTTTGGGTGTTTCTCTTCTAAATTACCAATTGCTTCATCATTCTTTACACAATCATTACAAATGTCAAGTCCACATATTACAATCATAACTGGTAGAACAAAGAGTTTTTCTGGTAGATTTTCTTTCAAAAGTTATGCATATTGATCACTGAATTGAATCTTCGGTGTTATTGTTATCTAAGATAAGCCCAGAATTAAATAGGAGAAACAGAAACAGACATCTATATACGATGCTTCACTGAACAAAGCCACTCGTTGATGAATGCCATTTGATGCAGGTCCAGGCCACTAGGGAGTTCCCTTTTTGAAAGGATCTTCAAAATCTCTTGTGTTTCACCAACAAGACAAGCTGCGGTTCGTACACCTTTCTTCCCTCTTTTCATTGGTACTGCTATAACACTTCATAGATATGACCCGAGGTAAGTTCATGAAACAAGCACACAATATATCAGCTATGTTTTTTTTGCTAATTGCTTGAAAAGATATTCATCCGTCACATGTATAATTCCTTGGTGATCGAGCATTATGGTTTCACATATTCTGTACATCGAGTTGGCAGCTATCGCGTTTATTGACCAGTTGTTAGAAATCTCTTCGTCTCCATTTGAGGTTCTCTCTTCAATAACAATGGATTTCGCTTTATCACTTAGCCATTGAAGAGTTTTCCTCCTGAGATTTCAGCAATTTGTTCGTGAGACTATACTTTAGCCACATATCTTGAAGCTCAACCCCACGCCACACAACATCACTTGCTTTGCTAATGACCGCCAAATCTCCTTTGCAATGCAAGGTTTTTTCTACATGTTTAACATACGAGAGACCCTTTTCCACGTTGTTTAATAAGCGATCCACGTCATCTTTTTGGATGTCGGGTAGTTACGAGAGAATGGTATTTTATAGAAGGATTTGGAATTGGAGGGATTTAGATTTGAAATCTTTTGGTGTATTTGGTTTGTAGGATTTGAAATGTAATTGAATTCTATTATTTAACAAAAAATATATAAGTAAATATACAAATAATTAATATTACCTTCTTATAAATTGATTGTTACAAAACAAATGTTTTTAATATATTTTACATCATTATTATATAGAAATCTTATAAAATCCTGTGAAATACCAACCAATCCGATGGGATTCCAAAACCTGTTTGTAGTATTTTCAATGAAACTCCGAGATTTCAAATCCATGAAATCTTTCAAACCAAACATGAGATTGAAATGAAATTCTATTCCAAATACAATCCTATCCCGCAAGCCAAATGGGACCTTAAGGATCGTTTACCAGACATTTATCAGGTGTCAACTTACCTTATCACATGAGCATAACAATGACCGAAAATCTTACTCGGCAATAAACGTAGTCAAGGATTAAGAATCTTACCCGTTAAGCTATGTTGTTAATGGAGGCGCAATATCGGATACCGAAACTATGCAAAATATCGGTGCTGCTAATGCTGGTGCAACTTACCGCAATTTGATCGGTATTTAGGGTCAAATTGTGGTCTACAATAACGCTACTTACTTTGGCTATTTTTGGGTTTTATTACGAGTCTTTGACTTGAGCAGTTGTACTTTTTGTTTTAAAATATCTTTTAATTTTGATCTATTAACATAATAGTATAACACTTAATAATAATTTTTTTTTCCTATCATCAACCCAAGTTAAAACTTGGAAGGAAGTCGTAGGTTTTTCCACGTTCGACAGCCTCCTCCACTCTCAGCTTAGCTTTTGCTTTAGACGATTACGACTTACGAGTCCACGAGTCTTAGCTTTTGTTTCCAAATATACAATATATGATGTTGGGTTCACGTGAGATAAGACTGTTTTCGTAAGACACGATTTTTATACTTGAAATTTCACAACAAAATGTTATGAAGGTATAAAAAAGACGAATCTTCACAGCAAAACACTGAAAGTTACCTTCACAGTGTTTTGTTGTGAAGTTTTAAGTATAAAAATCGTGTCTCACGTGATCCCAAATCTCTCTGTATGTATATAATACATAATTCTAAGGAATATCATATGAATCGCTAATTTTTTAACATTTTGAAATTATAAATACAAAAGGCAAGAAATAAATACAAAACCGACCGAACTGATTTACGTTGATTTTTTGCTTTCAGCAAACGGAAGAAATGGGAACGAGAACAAACTTCTATAAGAACCCTTCTTATACATACAACAAAGATTTCGATCTCAACTCTGTTCTGCAAAACCTAAAGGGTAACAAAATTTCAAATCTATATCTTCAGTTGTACACAGCACACAATCTGTCTGCTGATTTGATGAGTTTTTTTTAACCTTATTTTCGTTTTTCTCATCAATTCTCATAGCTTATAATGCTGCCACCGGGAACCCCACTCCACCGGAGGAAGAACCAGTTTCCAGCAACCAAAAAGTCGGCTTACAATCCAACCGCCGCAAGCGACGGAAGATTTCGTCGCCTCTGGATAAAAGACATAAAATTGAAGAAAGTGATGGACCCATGTCTCACCATGATTATATTCAGAAAATTAGGTGATTTTATGTTATAATCTAATTGTTATTTAAAAAAGGGATCTTTAGTCTATATGCTAAACCATAGGGCTGTTATTTGTTTGCTTATGACATAGGAAGGAAGCTGATTCAGCTCAAGCCTTTGAAGAATTAACTAATAATGTGTTGGTAAACTCCAGTTTGCATTTTCCTTGATACATTCATAAAATTTGCTTCATGGTTCGGTTCATTCTCATCTGATGCTAGGGTTTTCATTCCATGCTGTTAATGATGCAGGAGGGTTCAGCCTCTGGTGGACGATTAGTGGGGTATGATAGTAAGTTCATCCATGACCAAGACATACCAATTGTGGAATTAATAGTACAACATTTGTGTTAGGAATTCCGTAATTTTCTGTATATAATGTGCTCTATGATCCTTTACCAGTGTCAATCTGGAGTTTTGTTGCAAACTTCTACTTCTGCCTGACATGGGATTTCGTCAAAATAATTGCTGTTGGCTATATGAATCATGGGTTTGTGTAGTTCATTTTGTAGCACTAGATTGTAATACTATGCAAGAGGTCCTGAGGGGAATTCATGTAAATTGGAAGCACACTGAGAACAAGATCATGCTTTTTTTTTTATCACCATGTATGTTGCATTTTTTGCAATCTTATCAAATTTTCACCTTAACTTGTTTTACCTCCCAGATTTTAAACTTCACTTGGCAACAGTTGTTTCAGAGACTTGGGTGATTTCTTTTTGCGATTGTTAGAAACTTTGAATTAATATGCCTGTTAATTTGATGGTTGACAGTACAAAGTGTTCTTAATTAGTCATTTCTTTTGTTGGTCCCAAGGGGCACAAGCAGTAAATGATGATCGACCATCCCTTGGTGTTATTGATACATTCAATTAACTGTGTATCTCTTCATTTGCTGTTACAAAATTTTTGTAGAAAATTCGGCCTCGTTTCCTTTAAACTTTCTCCTTTAACAGATATAAAAAGCCATCCCTTTTTCCAATCTCTGGTCCTGCAAAGAATGCCTTTTCGATGAAGCACAATGTAGTCATGTAGTCCTTAAGAGGTATTTGTGGATTTTATAGATCTTGAGTATACCTTTGGTTTAGGCCATGATGTACTTCACTATGCTTGTCATTTCCGTAGGTAGTGTTTGTTCATTAGCTACATTCCAGCCGTTCTTCATGTTGCTTCCTTTTCCATGTTTGCTCCTTTCTGTGGTTTAACCGAAAGAGCTTTCTTTCTAGAAAAGAAAAGCGAGCACAAATATTGAAATTTTGGTAATATTATTAAATAACGGCTGCCCAATTTTCTGTCTTATGATAAATCACTTGGAAATCATGGATAACGAGTTTCAGACACCAAGTTGTAAATGCAAAAAACGATACCAATTCACCACCTGTTTTTATATAGCCTTGGTAATGAATTCACAGGTGACAATGGTACTTCCTCCCAAGGTGAAGAGAATCAGGAGCCTCACATATCTGGTTTGATCCTAGATATCTGTGATGAGAAGGATCCTCATAATGCTGGTTGGTTCTCGTGTCTCTGTTGTATATGTATTAGCAATCAGTTAAGCTATTATGTTTAGTGGTGAAACTGTTTTGAAATTTTAACTAATATTGATCTCAAAAGGCTATAGCACCATTTTCTTTGTACAATTAGTAAGTCAATTTGTTGTTGATGATACTACTTATATACGTCTTTTCTGATGTTGTTACTTCTGGTTTGCATACCTCTCGTCTATGAGCTTTCGTGTGAAGATGGTTTGATTAATAATTTTTGTTTTATTTTGTTATATTACAACTTTATTGTAGGAAATATGAACACTGCCGATCATGTAAAAGAAAGAAGCGAGCAGCGGTTTCCTGTTCCTGGAGAGCCTGCATGTGTGATTTGTGGCAAATATGGGGAATATATATGTGATGAGGTGGGTTGTCTGGAGATGCTAGTATGTTATTTCTGGTCATTTTTACACATGCCATATTCAAGCTTAATTTGGCCCTGCTGATTGTTTTTTAGACTGATGATGATATCTGCAGCATGGACTGCAAAGCGGAGCTTTTGGAGAATCTCAAGAATTCTCAGGTAAGGTTCTATTCTTTCCTTTTTCTTTATGAATCAACATCAGATCTAGAACTTTCAAAATTCATAATTAATGAATTCCATTTCTATTTTAACCAGTGTTACTGCTTAATCCTTCTAGATGATTAAGCTCTATATCTGTGGCCTTAGAGTTTTCTCTGCTCTAACTAGTGTATCCTCCAAAAAGAAGTCAACTAGAAACAAAATAACTAGCACATAGGATATGTCTGCTTCAGTTAATCTTGACCTCTTTTTTATCTTTATATTTGACATTCTAATAAATTTGTAGAGGCCTGCAAGCAACCAACGTTTATTTGAAGTGTCATCTGGACCTAAATTCCCATTACAAATTGTTGAAAGTGGAGGAGACACTTGGGATTTCAACCGTCATCGCTGGTCAACAAAGAGATCTAGCCTATGTACTTATGAATGGTACATTCAATTTTCAACCTAGATGAAACACTTACCTCGACATGTTTTGGAACATGAATTGGTTCATGCTTTGAGAAACAACACTCCCAAATCAAAGCTCATACAAACATATACTGTATAACACTACCTTGGGACTTGGTGAACCTGGTCCTTTTTCAATTTTAACCTGTGTCACACTGCTTTGAATCACCTAAATGTGACTATTCTATGTTTATTATGTTAGTTGGAAATGTAAGAAGGGCGGTCATCTTGCTGAAGATTGTTTAGTGATAACGTCAATTCCTCAATCTTCCTCCTCTGGCCTCCAGGTACTGTTTCTACCTTTGTTGAGATCTTGAATCTAAGATTTTCACTATCTTTCTGGAAGCTGAAACATATGATATCATTTGAGCTCGTTAAATTGCTTCTTTTCTATGCAGGCCTCATCATCTACAAAGAGATCAAGTGTTATACCAAAGGAACTTCTTGAACTATACAAAAGGTTAATCAGATATTCCATCTTCACTGGCTTGTGTATATACTCGTGTTTCGTTGCTTCAAGATATTTAGTTTATAAAGTTGTAAAAGGTCTAGTTAATTTGTAACAGAGCACTTGCTTCACCTTTTTGTCCTGAAGTTGCTTTGCTATTTATAGCATATCCAATTTCACTCTTACCCTTCTTGTTTTTATTTCAAAATTTCAATCACAACCTGAGGACAAAAGATGGTGTTGTCTTTTACTCCTCCATGAAGTTGAAGAAGCGGAATCTCTTTTCTTTACTTGATTGTCTTTTTTTCTTAAGGCTGGTGCAGGGTATCACTTGCAAACTTAAGAATCTTTAATTAATCAGCTGTTGAGTACTTTTGATGTGGGGTTAATATGTTATGTAATGAACACTATGTTTACAAGGTTAAAAATGGTGTAACCATATCCATCTGTTGGAAGAGTCGTAGCTTAAGACATATTTTGACATTATTTCGTCTTTCCTTATGTGCAGATGCCACCAAATAAGCAAGAAGTCCAGAGCAGCCAAGTGCAATGCATGCCATAGGTTATCTACTTTGGCCATGTGCCTTGATTGTGGCATAACATTTTGTGATAGGTAAGCAACTCTCTCTTTTTAACTTGCCATAACACAAACTCCTACCACCACTTCTTGTTATCTGCCTTAAACTTGAACCAAAAGGGAAATGTTGCATTTATTTTTTGAGACCTTAGAAAGGAAATTGATAGAATTTATTTTGTAATGGAGGGCGTATAAATTTATAGCAAGGCTTAGATAAGCAGTCTGTGGTACTGCTTTTAAACTGGACAAGAGATTGAACAAAATCGTTGATTTCCAGTGCAGGACATTTGGTTGAGCATATCCAAACACACCCCTCCCATAGAAAGTACTATTCTTATAAGCTCAATCGGCTTGTGAGTATTCTTCACATCCTGTTTTAGTTTGGTATTCATTATTCACATGGTTTTCTTGTTCTACAATTTCTGCGTTTTGACGATTAACTTGGTTATTGGCATAGATTAAGTGCTGTAAATCAAGCTGCAAGGTGACTGATATCAAGGATCTTCTTGCTTGTCACTTCTGCTTTGATAAAGCCTTCGACAAGTTTTATGACATGTTCGGTGCAACCTGGTATGTTGTTATCTTCATTGAAATACACAACTTCCTTTTTCATATTAATCTTCAACATGATGTCAAGAAAAGCCTTGTCTACTCATAGCCTGTGTTTTAAAATCTGGAATTTAGGAAAGCAGCTGGACTTTCGATTGTTGCTGGCTCCATTTGTTGTGAAGATCACTTTGCTTGGTATGGTTCCCATTTTTCACATTACTTTTTTTGTGAGAAAAAAAATCACTTTGATTAATTTGTTAAGCATCTAAAACACCCTTCAAGAAAGAAAATATATGAAAACCCAGATTGATACTGTCAATTTATCTAATTTTAACATGAAAACTTCCCAAAAAAGAATGAAATGTTGCAATTTGAAAGAGGTATCTCATAAAAAGTCAACTCTAGCTAGTGTCTGAGATTGAAATGTTGCAATTTCTGTTGTTCATGGTTAATACAGGCATAGGATGAATTGCTTGAATGCGGGTGTTGAAGATGGTGCGTATATCTTCAAGAAGCACATGCAGAATGAGAAGCGATCTCAGTTGAGTGATTTCATATTCTAAAAGCATGTTCGAAATGAAAACATGTAATGTCGTTTTAGGTGAAAATTGCCATATTTATTAGTATATTTGTTAAGAATTTTAAAGCTAAAATTACTCATCTCCATCCATTATAATCGTTGAAAATTATTTGATCATAGAGATTTGCTTTGTTGCATTTCTTGTACAAATGAGGAAAACCTGTGTCTTTGCACACAGGAATCTCTATATTCCAATGAGAATTCTATATGCAACATCATCCTACAGAACCAGTCCTAGTAGAAACTTAACATCCCTGAATGCTGAAGACGACAGTCGTGCACCATCTCCAAAGGCACCCCTCTCTTTCAAGAGGACTCCAAGTTATTAGCATCGTTTAACCAACCAAGATACAATTGTTGGACCAATAAATAGAGTTGAGGTTATAGTTAAATAAGTTAGTAGTCGTTGTGGTCAAACTCTATTATGGTTTTTTGGCAACATTCTCCATAGGACCTTCCTATCTCCTTCTCTGACCTCACGTTATGGAATGAGATGAAGGTATTAACAATAACTGGTTTTTATAGGTTGGTTGGAGTTGGATATTATCGTGTTTCTGCAAGGCTAGATCATAGACGCCCAAGGCGGTCCAATCGAGATGAAAAAAAATATTTCTATAGCAACTACATCAACCTTGATTACTGACACGACCTTCGCTTTCTTGGAACTACTTTTTACTCATGGCTTCCCTAGAGGATCCATATGCCTATCTCGATGAATGCTTGCTAGTATATAATACCAAATTCGACATATCTACACTACCTGTATGCGAGTGTGTTTGGTACGTGACATAGAACATATCAAAATTTGTTGTTACAAGTTGATGCCACAATAGATTGGTATATGAAACAAAAATGTATATCTTTTATCCACCAAAATAAGTGGAGAAACAAGGGAGATGAAGATTGATTGATGAATTACTAAATTATTAATGTCATATTAAAACCGAAATCTTTTAGAATTTTTGACATGTATAACTCATTTTATATTAATGTAAAAGTTTATTAATTATATGCATTTATTTTTATAATCATATTAATTAGATGGTTTGTTTGGTGATTTTAATGTTCTCGGCCATTTAAGTGTGAATAGAATTAACACGAGTGACAAATGAGTTTCAAACTGTGATCTAATACAAATCAGGTGATGGCAAGTGCACACTTATACATAAGGCGAGTTTGATTCCGGACATGAAGAAATGATAGGGTCCAAGGGACATCGCCTTAAAACCTCTACAAAATTTTTGGACTTGGAATGTAGTGGAAAAACGTGATCAAACTTAGTAAAAGTGACCAAGTGTTTTTCAGATTTAGGACTATCTTGAAAAGCATTCAGGCTTAGACTATCTTTGGATAAGCTAAATCCAGAGGTAGCTCTATCTCTAGTTGGTCGCAAGGACTATATCTGGACAAGTATGTCCAGAGTTCTTGACCTCCATGTTTAACTAATTTTGATCTTATTCATTAATGGTTATAATCGTTTGTAATTGATTATAACTTTCGTAAGTTGCCTTATCCATTTTCGAGTGGAACATACACACACACACACGATATATACACCAATTTTTGTTCTCGCTTGAAATCTGAACATTCTAATATTCTCTAGTAATGTGACTTTCGTTTTTGTGCCTAAATTCAAAAGTGTCCTTATGGATTCTCCTAGATTGAATTTTGTGATACCCAGACATATGATCGAAATATCAATTCGGAAAACAAACTTCACGACTTTTAAGCAATCCAGATTCCGAAGCTGAGCATCTTATATTCGCGGGGATAAAGCTTTTCCTCTGCAAGATTACCATTTACCATGTAATCCTATTTTTCTAACATGGTTCTTTTCAATCTTAATCAATTCGAAAGAAGAACATATAACTTGTAGAATTAATAGATAACGTTAGCCATGTTAATCGTCGTTAAAGATTTATAATAGAGGAATTGATAAAAGAAAATGCATTTATCTAAACTATCTTATTAAGCAAATTTAGCAAAAGTCTTAAAATACTAAATGACCAAGATACCCTTTAGTCACTTTTTCACTTTTTCAGCCCTCCTCTCCTCTCATACACTCACCCCCTCACATACACTTACACTCTTACAATCGATTTTTTTTAAATTATAATTTTAAATTTACACTTGATACCCCTATAATTAGTAAATTAAGTTACTTTATGTCCTTTACTTTTAAATGTTTCATTTTAAACTTTTATCAAATTAACATACATAATCATATATCAATTAAAACATGTTTAAAAAATACATTTTTATTTTAACAAGTTACACAATTATAATCGTCTCGTTAATACCTTCGGAATGAGTCTAATATTGAATAGTTTTTGACTTAATTATATTATTATATATTATATATACTGTGAAAAAAT